CCTACGCCTTCACCGACAACATGATCTGCGCCGGGGAGCGGGGCGTGGACAGCTGCCAGGGCGACAGCGGCGGCGCCCTGGCCGTCCGCGACCCCCAGCACCGCGACGACGACCACCCCCGCTTCTACGTGGCCGGCCTGGTGTCGTGGGGCACCAAGTGCGGCACCTACGGCGTCTACACCAAGGTCAGCCGCTACCTCGACTGGATCCTGAAGACCATGCGGGAGAACGACGGCGCCGACGACGACCAATGAGGTGCCAGCCTCCCCCTCCGCATGCAAATCATCACCGCTGACGACCAATGAGGTGCCAGCCTCCCCCTCCGCATGCAAATCATCACCGCTGACGACCAATGAGGTGCCAGCCTCCCCCTCTGTATGCAAATCACCGACTCACCAGTGACGACCGATGAGGTGCCAGCCTCCCCCTCCTCATGCAAATCATTACCGCTGACGACCAATGAGGTGCCAGCCTCTTCTCCGCATGCAAATCACCACCAGCAACGACCAATGAAGTGCCAGCCTCTCCCTCTGTATACAAATAACTGACTCACCAGTGACGACCAATGAGGTGCCAGCCTCCTCTCCTCCACATGCAAATCATCATCAGCAACGACCAATGAGGTGCCAGCCTCCCCCTCCTCATGCAAATCATCAACCGCTGAAGACCAATGAGGTGCCAGCCTCCCCCTCTGTATGCAAATCACCGACTCACCAGCGACAACCAATTAGGTGCCAGCCTTCCTCCTCCTCATGCAAATCATCACCGGCAACAACCAATGAGGTGCAAGCCTCCCCGCTCACATGCAAATCACCGACTCACCCACCAGCGACGCCCAATGAGGTGCCAGCCTCCCCCTCCACCTGCAAATTACCGACTCACCAGCGACGCCCAATGAGGTGCCAGCCTCCCCCTCCACATGCAAATCATCGAAGCAATGTCCACCAATCAGTGCATGGCGGGGTGGAGAGCGTTTGAAGTCCGGGCCCGGCTGCTGTCCCTGAGCTGCTGCAGTTCAAGGCTGGCGCGCTACCGCCTGAGCCACAGCGCCCCTCCGGGCTTCTTCTGTGTAGGTGGGCACCCAGGAATCGAACCCAGGGCCTGATGCCTGCGAGGCGAGCGCTCTACTGCTGAGCCACCTTCCCAGCCCCTTTTTCTTTCTGCTCAAGGCTGGCGCTCTACCACTTGGGCCACGCACGTTTCCCCTTTGTGGCTTTTTGTTTGGGTGCTTCATTGGAGATCAGGCTGGCTTCGAACCCGCCTTCTTCAAAGCTCAGCCGCCTCTGGGTGGCTGGGATTACAGGCGTGAGCACCAGTGCCCCGCACACAGGCAGCTGGATGGTCCACACCACCAGGCCTGGCTTAGAGGAAGGGATCTGGGCTGTATTGGGGGGCCTTGGGCTGGGTATTGGGGGGCCTTGGGAAGGCCTGTCTTCTCGTTCAGTTCTGCAGCAATTCTTGGAATGGTTTTGTGTTTGTCTCCTTGTTTTACATCTGGTGGGGATTCCCTGTGACTAATCATTCCCAGCGATTCCTGGCAATAAACCGGAGTCAGAACCCCCTTCCCGATGGCTGCGTCTTATTTTCCCCCAAACCTTCCGACCCACAGAGGAGTGCATTGAAGATCATCGTATTGTGACCCACGGGCTGCAAGCAAATCGTATTTAACAGCCTGCTACACAAGGGGTTTAGCTTCTTTCTCTGTTTTGTCGGTCGTGGGTCTCGAACTCAGGGCCTGGGCGCTGTCTCTGAGCTAGTTTTTTTTTTTTTTTGCTCAAGGCTAGTGCTCAACCGCTTTGAACCACAGCTCCAGGACCCACTTTTTGGTGGTTTATTAGAGATAAGAGTATCATAGACTTTCCTATCCTGGCTGGCTTTGAACCATGATCTCCACCTCCTGAGTGGCTGGGATCACAAACGTAAACCACTGACACCTGGCTTAATTTTCTCCCTTCCCTCCCTTCCCTCTCCTTCCTTCCTTCCTTCTTGTCCTGGGGCTTGATCTCGGGGCCTGGGCACTGTCTCTCAGCTTTTTTACTCAAGGCTGGTGCTCTACCACTTGAGCCACAGCTCCACTTCAGGCTTTTGGATGGTTCATTGGAAATAGTCTCACTGGCTTCCCTGCCTGGGCCGGCTTTGACCCTCCATCCTTACATCTCAAGCTCAATCCCAGCTACGCAGGGATTCCAGGCGTGAGCCACCAGTGTGGGCCTGGAACTTGACTTATTTTAAATCTTCATTTTATGGGTGCTGAGGCTGGACCCCAGGGCGCTGTTCACGTGAAGCAAAGGCTCTACCTCAGAGCTACACCCTGACCTGGAGACGCAGGACGGGGGGGGGGGGAGTGGTGTGTTAGGGTGCTGTGGATCTCAAAGGGCGTCTTATGAAAGTTGAGGACTGGGAAGAAGAGCAGGGGACCTCTGTCCTGTTGGGACACGTGGCTTCCCAGAGGTCGCTTGTTTTAAACCAGATGATGACAGGGTCCTGTTTGAGTTTATCAAGACAGGACTTTGGCCTTCCATAAACCAAAGGGGCAGATTCAACCTTGGACCTCAGCGGTTGGGTAACTGCAGTGATGTAACCGGGAAAATTCCAACCACAGAAGAGTCTGCTGAGTCACCGAGAACCAAGTGACCCACACCAGTGGCTCCCGCCCGTAATCCCGGCCACTTGGGAGGCGGAGATTGTTGGGAATCACGGTTCCAGGTCAGCCCAGGGAGGAAAAAAATAAAAGGTCGAGGGGCTGGGCAGGTGGCTCAGGGGTAGAGCGCTCGCCTAGCATGCATGGAGCCCTGGGTTCGAATCCTCACTACCACAGACAGAAAAAGCCGGAAGTGGCGTCGTGGCTCAAGGGGTAGAGCGCCAGCCTTGAGCCAAAGAAGCTCAGGGACAGTGCTCAGGCCCTGAGTTCAAGCCCCAGGACTGACAAGAAAAATCAAAAGGTTGGTGAGACCCTCCTTGTCAATGAAGATCTGCATGGGGAGACACACACCTCTTTAATCCCGGCCACCAGGGAGACTAATTTAGGTGAGTTTCATCGCTCAGACAGGAAATGAGATCCTATCTCAATGCTAAGCAGCAAAAATTGGGTCTGGAGGCCTGGCCCAGCAAGAAGAGATCCTGACTAGCAAGTGTGAGGCCCAGAGTTCAAACTTTAGTACCAAGGACAAAAGTGTCGCACAAAATCTCTGTCCACCGCCGGGCGTCCCAGGTCTAGTAGAATTGGCAATGAGCCGCGGGGGGGGGGGGGGCGTGGCTCCCCCCTGTCATCCCAGCGACTCAGGAGGCTGAGAGCTGAGGATCGTGGTTCGAGGCCAGCCTGGGTAGATACATCTGTGACACTGTTCATTTCAATTAACCAGCAAAAAAGGAAGTGAGGGTATGATTCAAGTGGCAAAGTGCCAGCCTTGAGCAATACAAGTGAGAAAGCCAAGAGGCACACACCCAGGCCCTGGATTCATGCTCCAAGCCTGGCACAATAAAAGACCCTGAAAAATCTTCCTCCTCCCCCCCCTCCTCCTCCTCTTCCTCCTTCTCCTTCCTCCTCCTCCTCCTCCTCTTCCTCTGTTTTGGTCAGTCCCGGGGCTTGAACTCAGGGCCTGGGCGCTGTCCCTCAGCTATTCAGCTCAAGGCTGGTGCTCTACCACTTGAACCACAGCACCACTTCTGGTTTTCTGGTGGTTCATGGGAGATCAGAGTCTCACAGACTTTTCTGCCTGGGCTGGCCTTGAACCTCGATCCTCACATCTCAGCCTCCTGAGTAGCTGAGATGATAGGTGGGAGCCACCAATCCCGGCTTGACCCTATCTTAAAACAAATTAAACAGGCAGGGGTGGGGATGGAACTATAGTAAAGCCAATAAAGAGAATTAATTTCACAGAGTATCATTCTGTATGCGTGATTTTAATATGAATCTTAGTAGTTATGTCCAAGTGGCTACATGATATTTCCCTCCCTCCCTCCCTCCTTCCTTTCCCTCCCTTCCTCCCTCCCTCCCTCCCTTCCTTCCTTCCTTTCTGTCAGTCCTGGGGCTTGAACTCAGGGCCTGGGTGTTGTCCCTGAGCTTTCTTTGCTCAAGGCTAACACACTACCGCGTTTCCCCTCAAGGCTAATGCTCTACCGCTTAAGAACTGGTTTGTTTGTTTTGTTTTGAGCCATTTATTGGAGGTAAGAGTCCTACAGATTTCCCTGCCTGGGCCTCCTCCTCCATCTCAGCTTCCTAAGTGGCCGGGATTACAGACGTGAGGCACCAGACTCTCCCCCCAGCCCCCCTCCCACGATCCTTTTTCTAGCTTGCCTTCTAGGTGGATTCGGGGGGCTCTCAGCCCTCCTCTTCCTCCCCCATCACCTTCTGGATCCAATCCACGTAGCCGAGGAGCTTGGTGTAGAACCCGTAGCCACGGCCGCAGCCGATGCCCCACGACACGATGCCCGTGGCCACCCAGCGGTCAGCCTCGTGGTCCCTGGCCGCGAACACGCCCCCGCTGTCCCCCTGACAGGCATCCTGTCTCAGCCTGGGGTCCCCCGCGCAGAACATGTTGTGGGAGAAGACATCGTGGCTTCCTTTGCTCCGGAGCCACGTCTCGCAGGCCCCGCGCTGGGCCACGGGCAGCCGCACGAACCTGAGGTCGAAGGCGATCTTGTCGCGCGTGAGGCCAAAGCCGCTGACGAAGCCCACGAGGCCCGGCTCGTACAGAGTCTCGTTGTCGGGGAGACAGATGGGCAGAAGGTGGGGGCCGAGGGGGACGCTGCTCTCCAGCTCCAGCAGGGCCAGGTCACCCTCAAAGTTGTGCGGCTGGTCCTGGCGGTAGTCGGGGTGCACGTGGACGCGGCGCACGCGGCGCACCCCCAGTTTCTTGATCTCCTCCTCGTTGGTGTGGCCCAGGAACACGTCGATCGGGGGGCGCTCGTGGGCATCGTGGGGCTCGTAGTCTTTGGGGGCCAGCGTGTGGGCCGCCGTGAGGACCCAGCGGTCCCCCAGCAGGGCCCCCCCACCCCGGCCGTAAATGTGGGTGTAGGCCTGCCACGGGAAGTTGCCCAGCTCGGCCGTGTGGCCCCCGATGATTCGCTGCTTCTCCCGCACGGGGTGCACCGGCTTCCCGCACACTGCAACACACACCACGGCCCGAGGGGTCTGACTTAGATCCAATGAACCACCAGAGAACCAGAAATGGCGCCGTGGCTCAAGTGGTAGAGCGCCCGCCTTGAGCCGAAGAGCTGAGGGACAGCGGCCAGGCCCTGAGTTCAAGTCCCATGACTGACAAAAAAAAAAGGCGGGTGCTCTACCCCTTGAGCCACAGCGCCACTTCTGGTTTTCGGGTGGTTCATGGGAGATCAGAGTCTCATGGACTTTCCTGCCCAGGCTGGCCTCCAACCACAATCCTCAGATCTCAGCCTCCTGAGTGGCTGGGATGACAGGCGGGAGCCACCACACCCTTTCCCCTCCTTTCTTTATTTCACTCCAAGTTAAGGGGTTTTCTCTCCCTCCCCCCCTCAACCTCTAGGTCCCCAAAGCTGGAAGGCTCTAATGAACTCTGACCCCCATACCTGGCAGACAGCGGGGCATCTTCTCTCCCTCCTCCTCGTTCTTCCAGACGCCCTGCGCGGTGCAGGTGTAGGCCCCTGCAGCGGGGGGGGGGGGACCCCAATCAATGCTGATCTGCCAGAGGGCGGAGGCTCAGGGTGCTGGGAAAGCACTCACGGGGTGAGCACCGAGTGAATGGTTCAAATCAGACATACTAGATGGTGTGCGTGCGTGTGTGTGCATGTGTGTGTGTGTGTGTGTGTGTGTGTGTGTGTGTGTGTGTGAGATCTCCTTGGAGATCAGAAGCTCACGGACTTTCCCGCCCCGGGTTTGGCTTTGAAGCGCGATCCTCCGCTCTCAGCCTCCTGAGTGGCTGGGATGACAGGCGTGCGCTACAGGTCCCGTTCGGGTGACTTTACTCCCTTCCCTACCCGCCTTCCTCCCACCCCAGCTGGCCTGGGAGGAATCTCAGAGGCCTTCCCGGAGGAGGGCGGGCAGGAGGGGACGGGGATGGCCGCCGGCCGCCGGCCTACCCCGCTGGGCCTCGCTGCGGCCCTCCCGGGTGCTCATGGCGTAGTAGGGCTCCCGGCACTGGTACTGGATCTGGGCCTGGTAGGTGCTCACTCCCTCGGCCGTGACGTAGCGGAAGTCCCCATTGGGCAGCGCGCGGGGCGGTCCACAGTCCCTGACTAGTGGAGAACGCGGGGCGGTGAGCGGCAGGGACGGTGAAGGGGAGCTACGAGACTCGGCCGAGGTGTGGACAGGGGGTTGGGCGGAAGTTCAGCCCCGCCTGCGTAGACTCCGGGGCTCATTCGTCCATCACGGAGGGGCAGGAAGGCGTTGGTGGGCGCCGCTGATCTGGGCACCCTCTTTCCCTCCCCCGCGGGCCCCCTGAGGAGGAGGGAGGAGGGGGAGGGTGGCAGACATGGTGACTTACTCTTGCACCGGGGCATGGCTCGATCCCACATGCCGTCGTGTCCACACGTGGTGCTGAAGGAAGACAGCACCTGGTCTCCCTGCGGGGGCAGAGGTGACAGGGGGCCGGGTCACCATCTCACACCCCAAGCCGGGCGCCGTGGCGCACGCCTGTCATCCCAGCGACTCAGGAGGCTGAGGTCTGAGGATCGCGGTTCAAGGCCAGCCTGGGCAGGAAAGTCTGAGAGACTCTGATCTCCACTGAACCACCAGAAAACCGGAAGTGGCGCTGTGGCTCAAGTGGTAGAGCGCCAGCCTTGAGCTGAAGAGCTGAGGGACAGCGCCCAGGCCCTGAGTTCAAGCCCCACGACCGACACAAACACACACACACACACACACACCACAACAACAAGGTTTCTAGTGTGTAGTCAAGTTGAGGAGCTGGTTGACCAGTTGTCTCTTCCAGCTCAACCAATGTTCACTAGGACTGAGGAGATTTGGGGGGTCTCTGCCTGTGGAGCTCCTCCCAAGATGGGGGGTCTGGGGGCTGGGGGGCTCAGGGCCCCTCTCACCTTTACCAGCTGGTAGCCTTGCTTGCAGGTGGCCACGAAGTAGTCCCGATACTCATACAGCGACTTCAGCTTCTCGATGATGGTGAACTCATCCAGGGCCTTGGGCTGGGGGCACTTGACGGCTGTTGGGGGGACCCAGAAAACAAGCTTCTTGTGGGACCACCTTCCTTCCCCCACCCCAGCATTCCTCACGGCTGGCCAGCCAAGCAGGAGCCTGGATTTTAAATATTTATTCTGTCGTCATCATTATTATTATTGTTGTTGTTGTCAGTCCTGGGTCTTGAACTCAGGGCCTGGGCGCTGTCCCTCAGCTCTTCAGCTCCAGCCTGGCGCTCTACCCCTTGGGCCACAGCGCCACTTCTGGTTTTCTGCTGGTGCCTGGGAGATCAGAGTCTCCCAGACTTCCCTGCCCGGGCTGGCCTCGAACTGCGATCCTCGGGCCTCAGCCTCCTGAGTCGCTGGGATGACAGGCGGGCGCCACCTCGCCCGGCCTGAGTTTTCAATGTCACTGTGATGGTTTTGGGGGCTGAGGTGGGACCGAGCCCCCCCCCCCCGCTGGCTGCCAGCGCGCCGGGCTCACTTTGGGTGGTGTAGCGCAGCTTCCAGCCCCGGCTGTCCCCTGACTCGTCAGTGAAGAACACCACGTCCACGGCGTTGCTGCTGACGTCCAGGTCCGGGGGCCTCTGCTTCCCACAGAACTCGCCCAGCCTCTTCCCGCTCGCGTAGATCTGACCGGGGTGAACACAGCAGTGGAGATTCTTTTATTGTTCTTTATGCCCATGCTGGGACTTGAACTCAGGACCTGGGCACACACGCTTTTGTGCTCACGCCTGGTGCTCTACCGCATGAGCCGCGCCACCACCCCTGGCTTTTTGCTGTCATGGTCACACGCAGTTTTACTGCCTGGTCTGGCTTATGCACATCCGCAGATCTTGAGCGGCTGGGATGGCAGGCGGGAGCTACGGTGCCCGGCCAGCACACACCCTTGGGGATCAGCCTGGCAGCTCAAGGCGGAGGAGGGGTGTGGGGTGCCTTCGCCATGTTTGGACTCCAAGTCTCCCGGGCACCCATGGCTCCCGCCTGTCAGCCCAGCCACTCAGGAGGCTGAGATCTAGAGGATCGCAGTTCAAAGCCAGCCTAGGCAGGAAAATCCGTGAGACTCTGATCTCCCATGAATCACTCAGAAAACCCGAAGTGGCGCTGTGGCTCAAGCGGTAGAGCGCCCGCCTGGAGCTGAAGAGCTGAGGGACGGTGCTCAGGTCCTGAGTTCGAGTCCTAGCATGGGCACCAAACGGCACTAGAGGAGGATTTGGGGGCCGTACCTGGAGCTGGTCGTAGGGGCAGTGGACTTGCTGGTGGTCGTCGATGTCGAAGGGCTCCAGGAATTTGAGGTGCAGGCTGAACCCCCTGTCCACACGAATGCTGTAGTTGCACCTCAAGTCCGGGGGGTAGGGACGGGGGTACTCGAGGCTGGAGATGAACCCCGAGGGCTCCGTGTGCAGCTCCCGGCTGCATTCGGCTGGAGGGACAGAGGCCAGGCGAGGGGGGCGGGGGTCACCGGGAATGCTCGGGGGGGCCCAGGACCCCCCCCCGCTGTCTCCCTCCCGGCCTCGCTCACCTCGGCACGAACCGTCCTTCTGGAGCTCGTAGCCCGCACGGCAGGAACAGAAATACCCCCCGATGTAGTTGTGGCAGAGATGTTGGCACGGGGGCCCCGCGCCCCCGTCCAGCGGGCTGTGTGGGGCAGTGCATTCGTCCAGGTCTGCAAGGGAAAATGCCCGGATGAGGCCGGGCGCCCGCTGGCCAGCCCAGCGCCGCAGGAGGCCGAGGTCTGAGGATCGCAGTTGGAGGCCAGGAAAGGCCGTGAGACGCTGATCTCGAGGAGCCACCGGACAACCGGGAAGTGGCGCTGGGGCTCAAGTGGTAGAGCGCCAGCCTGGAGCTGAAGAGCTGAGGGACAGCGCCCAGGCCCTGAGTTCAAGCCCCAGGACTAGCAAAATGAATAACAAAAAAGGCAAGAGGACTATTTGATTCCATGCTAGAGATTTCTAGAGTCAGGGAGGCCACTCACTGGAGGCCTGGGAAGAAAGGCCGGCCTCTCCTCTCTCATACTTATACTGGGGCTTGAACTCAGGGCCTGGGCGCTGTCCCTCAGCTCTTCAGCTCAAGGCGGGCGCTCTACCACTTGAGCCACAGCGCCATGTCTGGTTTTCTGGTGATTCATGGGAGATCAGAGTCTCACAGACTTCCCTGCCCTGGCTGGCTTTGGACCGCGATCCTCTAGATCTCAGCCTCTCTGAGTAGCTGGAGATGACAGGCGGGGGATGACAGGTGGGGTCCCTCTCCTGTGTCTCGTTCAACATGGCGCACATCCCGGGCGCTCACCCACGGCCTGGTAATAGGCCAGGAATCCCTTGTAGAACATGGCCGTCCCGTTCTCCTCGTTGGAGAAGTCGGTGTGGAAGGTGAGCAGCATCCGGTTCCCCAGGGAGAGGAACTCCGTCCTCCCGGGGGGGCGGCCCCGGGGTGACCCCGGGCGCCCACAGAACCGCCCCAGGCTCTTCTTATCCGCAGAGATCTGGGGGTGTGGGGGAGGAAGAGGCCGTGAGGGGCAGGTCTGGGAAGTCCTTCCCGTTATCCCGCCAGAGTGAAGGAAGCTTCACCATTTCACTGTGGTGGTGGCCAACGCCGCCTCTTAGCACGGACTTTCCTTGCCCAGGCTGGCTTTGAACCGCGATCCTCAGGATCTCAGCCTCCTGAGGAGCTGGGGTGACAGGCGGGAGCCACGGGCGCCCCGCTGGCTCTGTGTGTGTGTGTGTGTGTGTGTGTGTGTCCTATGCGAGATCAGTGTCTCACAGACTCTCCCGCCCATGCTGGCCTCCATCTGGGATCCTCCCACCTCAGCCTCCCGAGGGGCCGGGATGACAGGCGTGCGCTTGGTGACAGTTGCTGTGTTGAGTTGGGGGCTCTAACACCTGTGGGCAGCCCGGACCGGGCAGTGAGTGAGCCATCGCCCCTTCAGGGGTGTGTGTGGGGGGTCTGCAGAGGGGTTCAGCCGGGACTCCCCCCCACGTCCCCCCTCCCAAGCCAGCGGCCACCTTGACGTAGTCATAGAAACACGCTTCGGACGGCTCCACGTCGAACATCCGGAAGACCAGCTTCACCCGGTATCCCCGGGGCACCTCGATGACTGTGGTGGTCTCGACGTTATTGGGGTACGGCTTGGGGTACCGCGGCGATGTCACCGTCCCGAAGAGCTTCTGCGGGCTGGAGCCTCCGGCCCCGCCGAGCAGCGCCGACACCCAGAGGAGAGCACGCCACCTGCCGGAGGAGGAGTTGGGGCGTCAGGGGGCCGGAGTGGGGGGGCCTGGGTCATGGGGAGCCCCGGAGGGGCTGGAGTGAGCAGCCTTTCTTCTCCTTGGGCTGGCCTGGGCTGAGGACCCTCAGATCTCAGCCTCTGGAGTGGCTGGTACTACAGAAGTGAGCAACAGCGCCCAGCCTCTATCCTCAACTTCCCATGGGAGAAGCCGGTGCACAAAGCCAGAGGGGGACCCCACTGGGGGGTGGGGGGGTCCCGTGGGCAGGTGGACACCCTCCCGTGGGGGGCCCAACCCCCCTCCCACCCCCCACCCCCCGCCTGGCCTCCGCCATCTCCTCCCCTTTCCCGGAACGGGTGGAGAATCGAGGCCAACCCTGGTTTTCTTCTGGAAGGATTCCTACAGACTTAACCTAAGTAACGGGGAGAGGAGGGAGGGGGTGGGGGTCCCCAATCCCTGCTGCCCCCCACCACGAGCCCTGCAGCAGAGCAAAGCCAGGCAAAAGCTAAGCCTGGAGTTCAAAGACAGATGTTCCTGCGGACCTCAGGGGGAAGAGGAGGCGGGGGTTGGGGGACAGTATTGAGGGGGGCGCCCTGTCTCCCTAAATAAGCCAGAACAGGGTGGCATGGGGGGCAGCTGCTCCCCCCACCTCTCAGTGCCCACCACCATTACTCACATGACTCGGGGCTGCTGTGATGCCGGCCCTCAGCTGTCTTCCCGCCGGGCTGTGGGCCTGCAGCTCCCAGTTGGGGAGGGCTGGGGGCGGGCGGGGGGGAGGACTGTTCCCGGAGGAATGCTGGGAGCGATGAACTGTGCACAAACAGCTCACACGCAAGAGAAGAGAAAACAAAACCAAAGCAAATCTGAGTTTCCTCTTCAGTTTTCGTTTATTTTGGGGAGGGGGGGGGGGAGAGCCATTCGTAGCGCCACCTGCCGGTCCGTATGGGGAATGACAAAGGGGAAGGGGAATCTGAATGCTTTCTTTGCTTTGTCAGTCCTGGGGCTTGAACTCGGGGCCTGGGCGCTGTCCCTCAGCTCTTCAGCTCCAGGCGGGCGCTCTACCCCTTGAGCCACAGCACCGCTTGTGCTTTTCTGGTGGTTCCTTGGAGATCAGAGTCTCATGGACTTCCCTGCCCAGCCTGGCTTTGAACCGCGATCCTCGGGATCTCAGCCTCCTGATTTAGCTGGGATGACAGGTGGGAGCCACAAAAGGGGTCTGAAGTTTTAGGGTGTGGGGCTGGGAGCCTGGGCTGGGAACTAAATCTGTTCAAGGCCTGTTCCCCCCCCATGTCAGTCCCCAAGTCTGGGAAATCCCACACTTGCAGAGGCTTTGGGGGCGGGGGGGGCGGGGCGACCTGTAATTTTCCACCTGCTCCGTTTCCCCTGTCCTTATTCATCCGCCCAGCGGAGTCCAGCCGTGCAGGGTTTGACTGTCAGGCTGTGCATGGACGTACAGCAGTGGAGCTGTGCGAAGCGCTGAGCGCCGAGCTCAGGCCAGCGCCCGGGCCCTGAGTTCAAGCCCCAGGACTGGCTCGGGCCGGGTAGCTCCACTCTTGTTCCGGACCAGGGTAGGCGAGGGTCTCTGGAATGTCAGGCTTTGTCCTCAACTGGCTTCTTTTCAAGATGGAAGGACCACACACACCCCAGACTGTTCTAGAAATAGCCAGGGTGTGGGTACCTTTTGAAGTTACCTGTGACCCTTCAGTAAATACCTCTTACCCTATTCAGTAAGCAGGAGCAGACTGGGAGCTTGAGCTCAGCCAATCAGAGCAGAGGGGTGGGGCCTGCTGCCTGAGGGGTAACCTATGTAAAAACATTTTACCCTAACCAAACTAGCCAATCAGAATCAGTGTGGACCTGAGCTCAGCCAATCCAAGCAGAGGGGTGGGGCCTGCTGCCTGAGGGGTAACCTATGTAAATACACTTTACCCTAACCAAATTAGCTGACTGTAAACCTGAGCTCAGCCAATCCAGGCAGAGGGGCGGGATAACCTATGTAAATATCCCTATCCAAACTAGCCAATGAGGAGCTGAATGTGAACCTGAGCTCAGCCAATCCAGGCAGAGGGGTGGGATAACCTATGTAAATATCCCTATCCAAACTAGCCAATGAGGAGCTGAATGTGAACCTGAGCTCAGCCAATCCAGGCAGAGGGGCGGGATAACCCATGTAAATACATTTTAGTCTATCCAAACTAGCCAATGAGGAGCTGAATGTGAACCTGAGCTCAGCCAATCCAGGCAGAGGGGCGGGATAACCTATGTAAATATATTTTACCCTATCCAAACTAGCCAGTCAGGAGCTGAATGTGAACCTGAGCTCAGCCAATCCGAGCGGAGGGGCGGGGCCTGCGGTGTGGGGTATAAGTAGGGGAGCGGCCTGCCTGCCCTGCGAGCTGGCGACCGATTCTGGTGATGGCCGCTCGGTCTGTGCAGGAGTAACTTTGTCCTGCTGGCAGCTCTGTTGCGTTTGTGGCGGTGACGTTCTCGGAGGGCATTTTTAGAACAGGGGTGGACAGAGGGGAACGTGGGCCTGCTCGACTCGCTGATGGATGACACCTGAACACAGCACTAGTTTTGTGGTTGTCTGTCTGTCTGGTGGTGGTAGGACTTGAACTCAGGGCCTGGGCGCTGTCCCTCAGCTCTTCAGCTCAAGGCTGGCACTCTACCACTTGATCCATAGCGCCACTTCTGGTTTTCTGGTGGTTTATTTGGAGATCAGAGTCTCCTGGACTTTCCTGCCCAGGCTGGCTTTGAACCGCGATCCTCCAATCTCAGCCTCCTGAGTAGCCGGGATGACAGGCGGGCGCCACTGGGCCCGGCTGATCTTTTGTTTTTATCTTTCACTGGCCATTGCTGCAAATCTTTTTCTTTTACTTATTTTTTATTTGTTAAGTAGTTGTACAAAGGAGCTGCCATCCAACGAAGCAGTTTCTGAATACAGTGCACCTTGATCCATGACATCATTCTCCCCCATCTCTTCCAGCCCTCTGTGTGTGTGTGTATATATGTGTGTGTGTGTGTGCGCGTGCGCGCATGTGCCAGTACTGGCGCTTGAACTTAGGGCTTTAGGCTCTCCTTTAGCTGTTTTTTGTTCAAGGCTGGTGCTCTACTTCTTGAGCCATTGCTCCACTTCCAGCTTTTTGCTAGGTAGAGAGAAGAGTCTCAGCCAGACACTGGTGGCTCCCGCCTGTCATCCTAGCTACTCAGGAGGCTGAGATCTGAGGATCATGGTTCAAAGCCAGCCTGGGCAGGAAAGTCTGTGAGACTCTAATCTCCAAGGAACCACCAGAAAACCAGAAGTGGTGCTGTGGCTCAAGTGGTAGAGCGCCAGCCTTGAGCTGAAGACTGATGGACAATGGTAAAGCACTAGCTTTGAGCACAAAGAGGCTCAGAGACAACGGCCAGGTCCTGAGTTCAAGACCCAGGACCAGCAACAAAACAAAAGAAAACAGAGAACCTGTAAGATTTCTCCAGAAGGGGCTGGGTGTCGGTGTCTGGTCTGCATTCCCAGCTACTCAGGAGGCTGAGATCTGGAGGATCACTGTTCAAAGCCAGTACAGGCAAACCAACAAAAGGAAAAGTCTTTGAGACTCTTATCAGCAATGCCCCAGCAAAAAGCCGGACACGGAGGTGTGGCTCACGTGGTAGAGCGCCAGCCTTGAGTGAGGAAAGGCAAAAAAGCTCAAAGACAGCGCACAGGTGTGGTGCGGGTCTTGGGGCTTGAACTCGGGGCCTGGACGATGTCTCTGAGTTTTTCCGTTGCTCAAGGCTGCCGCTCTACCACGTGAACCACGGCTCCAACTTCTGGCTTTTTGCTGGCTCATTGGAGAGGAGAGTCTCACAGATTTGTCTGCCCAGGGCTGGCTTTGCATCGCGATCCTCAGATCTCAGCTTCCGGAGTGGCTGGGATGGCAGGCGGGAGCATCCACGCCCGGCCTTCGGCCTGTGGGGGACAGGGCTCAGTCCTTCCCTTCCATGACTCCTCTGATCCAGTCCACATAGCTGAGGATTTTGGTGTAGAAGCCGTAGCCTTTGCCACACCCAATACCCCAGGACACAATACCCGTGGCGACCCAGTGCTGAGCTAAGTCGTCCCACACCACAAAGACGCTGCCGCTGTCGCCTTGGCAGACAGCGCTGTCCTGGGCCTCGTCCCCGGCACAGAACATCTCGTGGGAGAACACCTCCGCCCTGCCCCTCTCCCGCAGCCAGGCCGCGCAGCGCTCTGGGGGTGCCACCTGCACCCCCGAGAACTTGAGCTTGGCGCTCAGCCAGCCCCGCTGGGCGCCGAAGCCGCTGACGTAGCCCCCCACGCCCGCGAGGGACAGGGCCTCCCTGTCGGGGAGACAGACGGGGAGCAGGCGGGGACCCACGGACACGGGGTGCCGGAGCTCCAGCAGGGCGAGGTCCCCCCGAAAGTCGTGGGGATCATCCTGGCGGTAGGCGGGGTGCACGTGGACACGGCGGACGGCGTGAGCCCCGGATGCCAGCATGCCGTCGACGTCCGCGTGGCCCAGGAACACGTCCACGCGGGGCCGCCTCCCGCCGGACACGCGGTTCTTGGGGCGCAGGGCATGGGCCGCCGTCAGCACCCACCGGTCCCCCAGCAGGGCCCCGCCGCCCCGGCCGTGGACGCTGGTCAGGGCCTGCCATGGGAAGCTGCCCGGCTCGGCTTCCCGGGAGCCCAGGGCCGGGGGGACCGGGGAGAGGGGGGTCACCGGGCGCCCACAGACTGCAAGACAGAGAGACGAGGAGGGGGGCACCATGAGCAGCTGCCCAGAAAGAAACAGATCCAAGATCCACCGAGGCCGGGCGCCAGGGCTCACGCCTGTAATCCCGGCTTCTCCGGAGGCTGAGGTCTGAGGATGGCGGTTCAAAGCCAGCCGTGAGACTCTCACCTTTAATTATCTATCAAAAATGTCAGACGTGGCGCTGTGGTTCAGGTGGTAGAGCACCAGCCTTGAGTGAAAAAGCTTAGGGACAACGGCCAGGCCCTGAGTTCAAGTCCCAGGACCGACACACACACACACACGCACACACACACACACACACTCAGAATTGTCCCTCGGAGTGACAGCACTGATTTGCTATGGTCGGCCCTGGGGGGTCCAAGCCTCTCCCTGGGCCCCTCCTAGAAAACAGTCTTTGCTTCTGTGGCGAGACTTGAACTCAGGGCCTGGGGGCTGTCTCTGAGCTCTTTCACTCAAGGCTGGCGCTCTACCCCTTGAGCCACAGCGCCACTTCCAGTTTCCTGATGGTTCATGGGAGATCAGAGTCTCACAGACTTTCCTGCCCAGGCTGGCTTTGAACCGTGATCCTCAGATCTCAGCCTCCTGAGTCACTGGGATGACAGGCGGGAGCCACAGTGCCCATCTTCACCTCCTCTTTTACTCAGCGGCTTCTCCTTCCCCCTGGGGTCCCCCAAACTCCAGGCCTGGGAGCAACTCTCCACTCACCAGGCACACACTGAGTTCCATCTAATCCACGCTGTCCGTCCGTCCGGCTGACTGTCTCCGAGGAGTCTGAGGATGAGAGGCCAGGAAAGGAGGCTGAGAATTGGAGGATGCTGGGCTTCTCAGAGCTCGTGCTCGGGGCCCCGGGTGCTGATGGGAAGTGTTTTGGGGGGACTCACTGGCTGCTGCTGCGGCCTGGTAGTGGGGTCCCGGGCAGCCATTCTGGCTCAGGGAGGTGTTAGCTCTGGGGGTGGCGGTGGTGTTGGGGTCCCCGCTGGTGGGCAGTGGGTGACCTGTAGCTTTAGGAGAACAGCCAGCATTAGGGCCCCACATGGAAATACAAACTGAGGCTGGAGTCCTGTGTGTGTTTGTGTCAGCCGTGGGGCTTGAACTCGGGGCCTGGGCGCTGTCCCTCAGCTCTTCAGCCCAAGGCGGGTGCTCTACCCCTTGAGCCACAGCGCCACTTCCGGTTTTCTGAGTGGTTTATTTGGAGATCAGAGTCTCAGGGCCTTTCCTGCCCAGGCTGGCTTCGAACCCCGATCCTCCGATCTCAGCCTCCTGAGTCGCTGGGATGACAGGCGGGAGCCACCAGCCCTGGCCTTGGGCCAACACTACGAAAGTGCCCGTGGGTCTGTGGCTGAGCCGCGGCTGCCTCTTCCGGAGCTGCTTCCACTGGGCTGTCACTCAAACCGCCACTTCCTCCCGGGCACCTGTGGCTCCCGCCTGTCAGCCCAGCCACTCAGGAGGAGGCTGAGAGCTGAGGATCCCAGTTCAAAGCCAGCCCGGGCAGGAACGTCTGTGAGACTCTTAGCTTCCGAGGAACCAGCCAAAAGCCGGAAGTGGCGCTGTGGCTCCAGGGGTAGAGCGCCAGCCTTGAGTGAAAAAGCTCAGGGACAGCGCCCAGGCCCTGAGTTCAAGCCCCACGACCAACCAGGAAAATACGAAAACCAACCAATAACCCCCCACACAAATACCACACACGCAAACCTTCCACATCCTATGAAAATTCCAGGGCCCGGGGCTGGGGCCCGGGTTTCCTCCCGCGGCCCGGGGCCCGGCACTCACGCACGGCTTGGTAGAGGGCCAGGAAGCCCTTGTGTGGGAAGGCAGCAGCGCGGTGGGTGGAGGGGGGTCCGGCCTGGAATTGCAGCCGCAGCGTCCTCCCGGTGGACACGAAGGGTCCGGGCCCCGGGCCCAGCGCGGAGCCCCTCGGCCCGCAGAGCCGGGCTGGAGCGGTCGCGTTCCCATCCACAGAGACCTGCAAGGGGGAGGTGGAGGGGGGACGCAGGGATGGGAGGCCCGCGCCATTGTGGTCATGGTGTGGGGGGGATCTGCACCCCTCCTTCTAGTGGAGGGGGGCTGGCTCAAGTAGCTTCCTCTTGTGTGTGTGTGTGTGCCCAGCCTGGAGCTTGAACTCAGGGCCTGGGCGCTGTCCCTGAGCCTTTTCACTCCAGGCTGGCGCTCTACCACTTGAACCACAGCGCCACTTCCGGCTTTTTGCTGCTCTGTTGGAGATAAGAGTCTCCTGGGTTTTCCCACCCTGGCTGGCTTTGAACCGTGATCCTCCGATCTCAGCCTCCTGAGTAGCCGGTCCCCCCTTGCTGGGGTGTGGGGGGGGGAGTAGCCGGGGACGGAGCTGGGGGGGGGGTCCTGAAGCCCCCACCTCCCGACTCACCGTGACCCAAGCCTTGGCGCAGCCTGGCGAAGCCTCCAGGTCAAAGTCCACAAACACCAGGCGCACGTTCGAGCCCTCTGGAGCCCGGATGTGGGTGGTGACGGCTTGACCGTTGGGGTATGGCTCTGGGTAGCCCGGGGAGGTCAGCTGCTGGGGTGACCACTGGGCCACCAGCACCACACCCTGCGTGGGCCGGAGGAGCCCCGAGAGGAGGAGGAAGAGGAGGCCGTGCCTGTGTGGGAATGAATGTGCCGTTTCATGGTCTAGCCCAGGAGCGCACACCTGTAATCCCGGCCACACAAGAGGCCGAGATCGGAGGATCCCAGTTCAAAGCCAGGCAGTCCGGGAGATGGTGTGGGACCGCCACAAAAAGTTGGAAGTGTGGCTCCAGGGGTAGCACGTGCCAGCCTGAGTGAAAGACCACCACAGGGACAGCGCCCAGGTCCTGAGTTCGAGTCCCGACACCGGCACGAAAAGAAAGAAAGAAAGAGTGAAGGGAATCTGGCTCTTTTCTAAAGAGCTCACAGGCAAAGCTCGCTCCCTCCGAGTGTGTGTGTGTGTGTGTGTGTGTGTGCGCGCATGCGTGTGCTCCCCCCCCCCCCCCCCCCCCCCCCCCGTCCCTCACACTCACATCTGGCCTACACAGCTGGCAGAGGGACGGTTTCGGCCCGCTGAGACCAGGCATCCGGGCCTAGACATCTGGAACCTTCTAGAAGGCTTGGCCCAGGCCGGAGACCTGGAGAGGTGGGGCTGGAGGCGGTCCTGGGGGCGGGGCAGGGGAAGGGGGGGAAAGGAGAAGTTTCTGGAAATGAGTTTAGTAATCCCCCACTTCCCTTCCTCCAGTGCCCTGGCTTGAGCGCCACCTGCTGTCGACCTGAGGGACAGCAACGCACCAACAGTTTTGTGTGTGTGTGTGTGTGTTTTGGGGGGGAAGCACCCCCAAACTTTCACATCATGCTCTCCCCCCCCCCCATGCCGGGAAGGGCAAGACTCCTTCTCTTCTGTGAATTTAAATCTCTCCCCGCGGCTCAGCCCGGCCGCCTCGCTCCTCTGGTGGTTGAGATCCGAGGCTCCAAGTTCAAAACCACCCCAGGCCAGACATCCGAGGGAGACGCTCATCTCCAATTCTAGCAGGAAAGAAAACAAAAAGAGGCCGGGCGCCGTGGCTCCCGCCTGTCATCCCAGCTGCTCAGGAGGCTGAGAGCTGAGGATCCAGGTTCAAAGCCAGCCTAGGTAGGGGAAGGTAGTAGTGGTGCCATGGTTCAGGTGGTAGAGCACCAGCCTTGAGCACAAAGAGAGTCTGGGACATCGCCCAGGCCCTGAGTTCAAGTTCCAGGACCAGAAGGAGAGGGAGGTGTGGCTCAGGTGGTAGAGCACCAGCCAGCCTTTAGTGAAATAAAAAACAAATGAGAATGTGAGTCTCTGAATTCAAGCCTTAGTACTAGTGCAAGAAAACACAAGTACACGTGCCCACACACACACACACACACAGATAACAAACTGTAAGCTCCCAATTTGTAAATGTATTTTCTTCTTTTGTTGATCATGGGGCTTGAACTCAGGGCCTGGGTGCTGTCCCTCAGCTCTTCAGCTCCAGGCTGGCGCTCTACCACTTGAGCCACAGCACCACATCTGGCTTTTTCTGTTTATGTGCTGCTAAGGAATCGAACCCAGGGCCTCATGCATGCAAGGCAAGTGCTCTACCACTGAGCCACCTTCCCAGCCCCTGTAAATGTATTTTGTTCATCAATGTAGAAAAGATCCAGGAGGGAAAAAAAAGAAAAAAAGAAAAATAGTCAGGCCCCAGTGGCTCCTGTCACCCCAGCTCCTCAGGAGGCTGAGATCTGAGGATCACGGTTCAAGACCAGCCTGGGCAGAAAAGTCCATGAGCCTCTGATCTCCATTAATCCACCACAAAACCAGACGTGGCGCTGTGGCTCAAGTGGTAGAGCGCCAGCCGTGAGCTGAAGAGCTGAGGGACAGCGCCCAGGCCCTGAGTTCAAGCCTCACGACTGACCAAAGCTAAATAAATGAATAATTGTGTAAGTTGTGAGTGGGGACGGGGTGGGGGGGGAGGACATTGCACTCAGATCCTCATGTATGAAATTGTGGTTCCTTTGTCGGGCTGCTTACCAACCACAGGAAGGCCAGCAATCGTCACAATACAATGACACGGAGCCCCCCGTATTCCTCCCGTGCATTCATAACACAGATAACTAATTAGGGGTAATCCCTTGACATCTGGGGTCCCCTTAGATGTCTCTCCTCTGCTTTGATCTCGATCTCTCTCTCATGCAATGATCTGGGGCTCCAGGAAGGATAGGACTGACCACTGACATCTCGTGTGTGTGTGTGTGTGTGTGTGTGTGTGTGTGTGTGTGTGTCCTGGGTCTTGAACTCAGGGCCTGGGCGCTGTCCCTCAGCTCTTCAGTTCAAGGCTGGCGCTCTACCCCTTGAGCCACAGCACCACTTCCAGGTTTCTGGGGATTCATGGGAAATCAGAGTCTCACGGACTTTCCTGCCTGGGTGGCTTTGAACCGTGATCCTCAGATCTCAGCCTCCTGACTGGCTGGGATGACAGGCGGGAGCCACTGGTGCCTGGCTTGATTTTAATTTTATGTTTCATTTCATCTAGGTTTATATTTCGTATTTCTTTTGATTGATTGATTTTTGTCCGGATCCTGGGACTTGAATTCGGGATCCTGAGGTCTTACTTGGCTCTTTGGCTCTAGGCTGGTGCTGTACCACCTGAGCCGCACCTCCACCTGTGGCTTTTTGGTGGCTCAGAGTCTGATGGTGGTCCCTTTCCCCGGCTGGCTTTGAACCAGTGTCCTTTGATCTCAGCCTCTTGAGTAGCTATAATTAAAGGCAGGCAGGAGGGTTTCCCTCTGCTGCGGTGGCGGACCTGGGAAGAAAGTTCTAGAATCTCCTGGGAGTCTAGGAGCAGGGCCCTGATTCCTTTTCCTTGAGGTTTTTTGATGTTCATGTTTTGTTTTGCTCAAGGCTGGCGCTCTCCCACTCTGGCCACGTCCCCACGCCCAGCTTGGGGTGAGATGAACGCTGGCGGCCTTGGTCTGCCCCGGCTGGGTTTGCTCTGCGATCCTCCGGATCTCTGCCTCCAAGGCTTTGAGGTGACAGCCAGCCGGGGCTTGGGGCGGCCCGGAGCTTTTCCTTCTGGCTCAGGGGCCTGGGATGGGTTTGATCCTCGGACAGATGGAGGGTTTCACCTGGAAGGTTCCAGAGGGCACACTGCACAACGGATGGAAGGGTCTGGAAAGAAGAACAAACAAACAAACAAAAAGGGGGTTAATGCAGAATTGGGGGGGTGGAAGTCCTGCTCATGTCCCCCTGTCTGTCCCCCTGGGCTTCCCGGCCTGCAGTTCCCCTGCTCCCCAAATTCACAGTGGGGGGAGAGAGAGAGAGAGAGAGAGAGAAAGCGCCCTCCCTCCCTCCCTCCTTCCCCTCCCC